AAACACTCGCGCCGCTGCTCCACCTCGCACACCACACAGGCCCTCACGTCCTTCTTCGCCGCAGCGCCCCGTTGCGCAGCCGCAGCGTCGACGCGCTGGGTACATGCAATTGACTCTTTCGAAGCGTTGCACCACGTGTGAACAGAAAAGTCGGCCTTGCTCTTCGACTCCCCACATTTCGAGCATACCCCCCGTTTTCCTTCCTCGGAGCGCTGCCTTTCTTCTTCTCTCATGGATTTCTTACACGCTTTGCACTTCCGCTCCTCTGCGTTCCTTTCATTCCTCGCAAATTCGTCCACCGACATCTCCTTGCCGCAGCGGGAACTCGTCAGGTGCTCCTTCAGTTCTCCGCACTCTTTGCACATCCCCCCTTTGCACCGGCTGTTCCCTGCAAGCTCCCACTGGTACGGCGCGAACGCTTCTTCGTACTTTCGGGACTCGCACACGCGGCAACTCCGTCTCTCGGGGCAGTCCACGCAGCGCCGCGTCGTCAACTTCGACGAGTGGTGCTGCGACGCGTGGAAAGCCTCCTGGCACTTCCACAGCCCACACTCTATGCATTGCCACGGCGTGCCCGCCCTCTTCTTATCTTCCAGGCACACGGTGCATACGCGGAGCCCGTCTGCGCGGCTCCACTGCCCGACCGTTGGGTACATATTCTTGTACTTCGTGCACCCGCAGACCGCGCACCTGCCGGACGGCATGAACTCCTTCTCTATCGCCTCCCAGTCCAAGTCTTATCCGCGCAACGTGCGCAGCAGCAAGTCCGGGCCCTTCCGTTCGTCCTTCTTCTGATACGGCACAATGTCGAAAGGGCGAAAGATCAGCATGTCCTCGCGGCGCTGCACCCGCGTCAGTGCCACGTAGCTCGACAGAGGTGACGTGCCCCTGCCGATGCTCAGATCCACTATGACACCCTGCTTGAACGTCTGCCCCTGCGCCGCATGGGCCGTCGCTCCGAAGGCCGGGGCCGGTGGAACTGCCGTCTTTTGACCTTCAGTCGCGGATGCGGACGGCCCTTGTCCACGAACCAATCCTTCTTCTGCGGAATCACGGGGTGCAAGCCGGGTGTCGTTAATCCCTCGATCGTCCACTGGCACAGCTTCCTGCCGCCGTTCCCGTCATCGCCTTCGTCGAACAACACGAAAATCACTTTTGGCGTCTTCTTCACAATGGTCTCTCCGCCGCGCGTGACTTCATCATTGTCGCCGTTCCCGTCGCAAATCCAAGACTGCACCCGCCCCGCGCGCCCGCGCAGGAGATTCTTGTCGTCGCTGCGATCAATATGATCGGTAAGAGCGGCAGGCATGCCTTCTGCGATGGGCAAGAAGCCGTACAAGTCCCCGCTCTCCTTGTCGTGGCGTTGGAGCCATGCTATCTTCTGCTGCGGTAGGTCCGGCCGCTCGCGCATCGCCTCCGGCGTGGGCGTATCTCGCGCAGGGATGTACACCATCGGCTTCTTGTGTTTGCGTGCGTACTGCGACGCACGGAGCTTGTTCGCCTCGCACTTCACGTCGTTGTTGGGGAACACACCCGGCGCGACAAGGAATTTGTCTGACTGCAGGCGTGGATCGTCGGGGCCATCCACCACGAGCTTCCGGCGTGCGCGCTCCGTTCTGCACGCCTGGCACTCCTGCTCGCGGATCTCCTTCGGCGTCACCTGGCGTTTATGTCTTGGCCCCGCTGCATGCAACGCTGCATCCCTTCCGCCACTGCACAATTCCCGACGCGCCCGATTCCCGCATCCCACGTCCCCACTCAGCCAGCTCCCAGGAACGGTCGTGTTTCGGCCGTGCAAAAATGCGTGCGCGTCCGCCGACAGCGACCCTCTTCGGAATTCCTCCTGCACCTCCTTCAGCCAAGCGTCGTCGCATCGCTCGCACTCTTCCAGCTCTGTCACGCCCTGGGCCCCGCGCGCAGCCCCCCCCCCACAATAACGACTGCCCAGGCAACACGGGTGGCAGCGAGGTGCATTTGCGCGCTGCCGAGATCCGCTCCGTGGGGACGTCGGCAAGAAAGCCTCCGTCAGGGGGGGCCAGCTGCCAGAAGTCTCCACTCAGCACGACGTTCAGGCCGACGAACGGGCGTGGAACACCATCGTCGCCGAGTTTCGCCGTGCCCACGTCCCGAATGACCCCGCGAAGTTTCGCGTCCACTTCTGCTAGCAGCCTGGCGCTCACCATGCTTATCTCGTCGATAAATAACCACCTCCACTGGAGCAGCCGCTTCGCAGTCTCGTACTGCACCTTCACGTCCTCCCCCCTCTCTCCTCCCCGCTTGATGGCCGGAATGCCACGCGCATGGTGGATGGTGTCGCCTCCCAGCAGCTGAGCCATGACGGCCTGCAAGGCGGCAATTTGGAAGCGCACTCCGATTGTCCATTTCATCACGTTCTCGAACAGCTCATGCCGAATAATACGCAGGACGTGCGACTTGCCGGTCCCCGGCCCCCCGTGCATGCACCATTGCAGCGGCTCTCCCATGCTGCCGCCCTCACTTCCCTCGCCGTCGATCTCACGCATGACGCGATGCGCCACCTTCTTCACCATCTCGAACTGCTTTTCGTTCACCACGCGCCGCCCCGTCTGCTTGTCCACCCGGAACTTTAGGTCCCTCAGCCACGCGGCAACGTCCTCCGATGTTGCCGCCTGCCCAGCGACGACAACTGCGCCGTCTGCCTCCGCCAGTCGGTCTGCCATGGATTGCTCCTTGTTCCGAGATTCACGCGCCTCCCTGAATACCTGCTCCACGTCGCAGGGCTCCTCTGCGGGCCATGCGCCCGCAATCTCGCCCAACGGCGTCTCGCCATCGCGCAGCCCCCGCACCTGTTGCGCGACCCTCATGCCCCCTTTCGAATTTTCGTAGTGGGAGGTGCCTCCGGCTCCCTGCCCAAGGTCTGCATCCTCTTCCTCGCTGCTGCTGTCTCCGTCGCCGTCCTTCCGCCTCCTCCCGCCCACGCGGGACTTCAGCGCTTCGTCGAGCTGATCGAAGCCCACGTCCAACTCCGCGTCGCTCACGTCTTCGTCGGTCCCGCCCCCCGCTTCTTCAGTGTCTCGTGGCCGGACGCGGTGCACACTCAGGAAGTTGCCCGCGTGCCGCGCGGCCTCCTTCGTCTGCGCCCCGCCGTCCAGCCACGCCACCATGGCCGCGCCCCACGTCGGCGCGTCGCCGCGCGGGCTCCCTGCGAACACGACGTGCGCGTCGGCCGCGTCGGGCCTCAACGTCCACGGGTGGAAGTGCGTCATGACAATGCGCGCAGATCGCTCCGCTTCTCCAGGACGTCCGCGTGGCACGGGCGCTCCGAAAAAAGGTTGGTGCCTTGGGTCTCTTGTTCCGCTTGAGCACCCACGTGTGACGAAGGTGGGCGCGCCCGTCTGTCTCTGGGTAAGGCACCCAATCCACGCCTCCTCCTTCCTTCACCATGTAGTCCTCCCCAGGTTCCAGGTCCTGCTCCAATCTCGGGTTCTTACAATTCTCGCGCACCTTTTCCTTGCCCTTCTGCGTCAAGACAGCGTGATGCCAGGGATGGTCCGCATCCCCGAGTCTCGTCGGGAACGACACCAACACCGGCGTCCAGAACGTCGCGAACTCGTACGGCGACAAGTGCCACAGGTCGGGCACGTTCGGTCGCAGCCCATACAACATGGCCACGTCCCGGAAGGTCACCTTTCTGCGTCTCCTCTGCCGCATGTCCACTTCAGCAAACTGCGCTTTGCGCCCGCCTGCCGCGCGGTCTGCCAGGCGCTCGACCAAGTCCACGTACTCGCGTCCATAAAAAGCTGTGGTCTGGCACGACTTCAATGATTCCGCCGCAGTGACGTCGTCCTCCCTCGCGAACGCTCTCAGGTTCGCACACTCCACTTGCCCCCGCACGATGCCCTTGCCGTACGCGTCGCTCACGATTCGGTTCGCTACTCTCTTCCCGATCCGATTCAAATTCTCGCCCTGCAGCTGCCTGCCAAGCTTCTCTATTCCCTTGCAGCACTCCTTCACTTCGTGAAAAGCCATGGGTTGCCGCTTCGTGCAGTAGTCGCAGGCGTACCCTGCCTGTGCGTCCTGTGCCATCTGCACGACCTTGGTGATCGCTGCGTCGTTGAGCTTCTTATCGCACGCTTTCCCGCACGTGCAACACACCTCTGTGATGGGGAACCGATACGGCAATTGCACGTCCGAATTGAACCGTTGCGCGGACAACATGCATGGATGCGTGCCGTTCAGACTCGCGTGATTCATCGGCCCGTGCAGGCTTCCCGTCCGATTCCGTCGCCCTGCCTTTGGCATGTTCAACGCTGCCGCCTGCCCTGGACACACGACGATGGCGCGGTCAATGAGCTGCGACGTCCACGGAAAGTCACCCTTACACAGCTTCGGGTTGTCCTTCCGGCGGCACGCCGGCAGGGGTACTCGCTCCCCAGTCTCTTCGTTATTCAAATGCACGCGGTTCTGCTTCCTCTCCTGCAAATACTGCACGTCTTCGTCCAGGTGCGCTTTCTCCCATGCCACAGCGTCGTCTGCTGCCTCCTTCTCCGTTGCTTCTGGGTCAAGTGTGTGTGACACTGAAACGCGGGCCTGCAAATGAGACCGCCCTCGTTCTTGAACTCCGGCCACGACTTCTCTGCTTCATCCAACTTGCCATTCATCTCCTCCGGTGTCATCTGCTCCGAATAAACCTGGCGGCACACGCGACTCTTATACTTCAAATAATCCTCCACGATCTTCCTTCCACGGCCTTCCACCTCGTCTCGGACGATTTCGAATACCTCTTCCAGCGGTGTGCGCTGGTGCAGGCACTGGACGAATACCTGGCAATGCGCGTGGAGAGACCCCGTGGACTTCTGCGCTTCGATCGACACGTAGTAGGCATCAACGCGGCCGCACGCGCCCCCCCCGGGCTGAGCATTACTCCCGAACAGGTCCTGGCAAGGTGCCCCATTCTCCGCCTCGTTGCACCGCGGGCAGTTCGGACAGGTCCGCACGCCGAACAAGTGACGGAGCGTGGCGTCCACCAGGATACGGAAGCCGTCCACGCTGGCCATGGGATCTCTCGCAAGAATTCGTCTGCGCTCGTTCCATGGCGGCACTCCTGCCTCCCCCGTGGCCATCGGCAGGTCCATGCGCAGCCCATCCATGTCGGGGGCTACGCGCGGCCAGCCCCGACCCCCCGCCAGCCGCGAGTGCGCTTCATCATCAGCTGCCTTGTGCACGGGGTCCTGCCGTCGAGTGCGCGAGAATCTCACCATGAGCAGATTGTGACCTTCGTCGGGCGAGAAGGTTACGAATATGGGGACGCCGTACCGCACTCGCAGCGCGTTCGTCTCAAACCGCATGATTCGACGCGCTACCTGCGTCCCAGACAGTCGCCGCGACGTGTGCTCTATGTGCGTCAGCAGCTTATGGGCGGCTTTCCCCAACCGTGGCACGTGCCGCACTTTGGTCATGACGCCGTTTACTTTCTGTTTCCTATTGTTGATGTCTACGTACTTCCCGTCGAGCGCGCGATAAATCTGCTTCGCTCCTTCCGCGATTTCCTCGGGAGTTAGCTGTTCGACCTCGCCTGACGCGTTCGTTCACGGCCGATCGAAACACAAGGTTCCACGACGCGAATCCGAAGTGCCAGTCGCGGGAAATCTGGCTCTCCGCGCGACGACTCATTATCCTCACCCACAGCGGCAGCTCCACCCGCGGCGCCCCGTTCCCCCTTCGGTGGCGCGGGCGCTTCATGAACTCTGGGCAGTCAGGCATTCCCGTGCAATACTTAAACAAAAACGCGAACGCGACGCCGAAATACCAAGGCTCGAACTGATCCATCATAACGTTTCCAGTGCGCACGCGGAGCCGATCCACGCGCTTCCCTTCGCGCCCGGCCTGAATCAGCATGTCGCGCTCCACTGCTTCTCGCGCCGCCTCATCCGCGCCCGAGGCCGCTCCCTCGCGGACGCGGCCGCGTTTACTTGCCCGTTCTGCCTTCCCACCGCCTTCCTCGTCCTCGCTGGAGTTCGACGTGTCGTCGGCCCCGCCATGCGCGCACTCCTCATCTAGCCGTTGCACGAAGGTCCGCACGGCCTCAATCCTCTGCGCATTGATGTCTCCCTCGTCGAAACTGCTCTTCTCACACACCACAGCGTTCGCCTTCGTGGTCTCCAAAATCTCTCCCGCCTCACGTAGCCCGTCGGGCCTCGGCACGGGCGTCGCCGCCTTCTGCATTTGGAGCTTCTCAAGCGCGTCGTCCAGGGGTACCAGGCGCATGGTCTCCGGTGGCACGCCTTCCTCCGGAAGCTCCATGGCTCTTTTCCGGACCTCATCCATATCCACGTTCTGGTACGCGCGATGCCCGCGAGCCTCCGCCCCCTCGATGAGATCCACGACCACCTTCCTGCGCGCGAGAGCCTGGTGCACGAACGTGGACATGCTTGCAGCAGTATCGTCGTCGCCGCCCGACTTCAAGATCACAGACACGATGCCTGCAAGCTCCGCGCCCGTGCGTGGAAGTGCCGGCGCATGCCCGTCCGCGGCAGCCTCTTCAGCAGCAACCAACTGCGCTAGAACGTCCGTCCACGGCATCGGGAACGACGTCGCGTTTCCGCGGGCCGCCATGCGAACCTCGTTCGCACCCACTTCCATGTCAAAAGACCGCTCCTTCCGGTATCGTTTCTCCAGTGTGAAGCACACCATTGATGTGATGCAGACTGAGGCGCAGATCATCTCCAATATCGTCACCTTGCTACCGAACAGTTCTTCCGGCGAGTAGAAAGCCATCATATAATTGGCCAGCGCCGCGGGGGGCATCGTCGCCTCGCCGCGAACGCCCACCATCGCGTTCTTACACTCGCCGCACAGCGAGGCTTCACAACATCTGCACGCCGTGTTCTCCGAGTGCCACGTGCCACTGCCGCGCCGCATGTCCTCGGGGCAACAGAGCACGCTGACGGGCCCCTCTTCTGATGGAGCCGTCACTTGCCAATCATTAAACTCCTCCATTCGATCTCGGAGATGAGCTCCGCTGCTACCCTCCCCGTCGGCACTCACATTGCCGAACCGCTCCACGTACGCGCCCACCGACATATGCTCCCTCACGAACGCGCCTGACAGCCCGAACAGTCCGTCCGCGTTGGGACTCACCGCGCGCCATTCGATCGGGTTCCCTCTGCGCCCTTCCACGCGCGGAAACTTCCGCGCGCACACCATGCGCACGAGAGAGTCGACGGCACCCTCGCGCAGACTCCGCGCATACTCGAACAGACATCGACGATCGATCGCCCGTGCTGCAAGCGGCGCGCCCGTTCTAACTTTCCATGCAATGGCCTCGTTGTACGCGGACCAATACTGTGCCTCTCTTCGCCTCGTCTCGTCTTCTTCGTTGCACGCGAGCGCCTCCGCGACGTCCCGTAGATCCCCCGCGTGATTGCTTACCACATGCTCCTGGAGCTCCGCGTTGCTGGACCCTCTCCACCCGCATCTGCTGACAGCGCAGTGTGCTTGCGGCAGCACTACGGCACCTCGTGAGAATATGGCTTCGTATTCCAACGATGCTCCGTGCACGGAGACCGCTGGCACGGTGGGGGGCTTTTTCATAAGCTCTGCGGCAGCCCGTAGACCTTCCCTGCCCCCCCGACAGACGTCCGCGGACGCGCGGCCGTTCTCGACGGCGCGGACGCGGTGCACGTGCGCTGCTCCCGCTGCCTCCGTGTAGTCGTTCTCCACCACGTGGGCCTTGCTCTGCTCCGTGCCGCTCCTGCCCGCACCGCCCGCGCTCGCGTCCGCCCCTGCGCCACTCGGCCGCGCCGTTCTCGACCTCACTACTTCCTCGGACTCTCGACCCTCCTTGGCCGCGCTGGCCCTGCCTGAATTGCGCGCCCTCCCCGGCCGGCTCACGGGGCGCGGAGAAGGCGGAGGGGGCGCCGCCTGGTCGGACGGCCTCATCCCACCTCCACTCTCACAGGCTGACGTCTGAGCGCTGGCGCCGTGCTCGGCCAGCGCGCTTTTCCTTGTTAAGCGTGCTCGTTTCGCCGTCGTCTGCAATCCTGCGCTCTCGGGCTGCCCTGTCTCTGGCCCAGTCACCTCCGTAGGTTCTTCTGCCCCCTGGGAAGGCGCCTTCCCGCGGGAATCCTTCTCGGCGCGCGCCCACACTGGCCTATAACAGGTACTGCTGATGTCCGCGCCTGTCTCGTTGTATATTTCAAGGATTACTGCCCCTTCCTCCTCGGCGACATCGCCCTCACGTGGCCATTGGCCCAGCACCGGGCCGCCCCCCTGGATCTCCTCTCGGGACAACGTCATGTCATAGCCCCCGTGTGGCCCGACGTGCCCGTCCAAGCGGGAGTACGTGCGCAGGATAATTCGGTCTGGCAGCGCTACTCTTTGCATGCCGTGGCGGGCCAACGCAAACCTCACGATTTCGCCTGCATGAGCGGCGACGCTTAGCTCTCCACCGTGCGATGCCAGGTTCAACCGCGCATCCTCGACGTTCCGCAAATGCCCCACGCACGCTTCACATGCGACGCGGCGCTCCTCAGCGGACGCCAAGGCATGGCCACGCCACCCGGCGTTCGACACAAGCTGGAATATACTGTCCGCTAGGCTAGCGTTGACCCCGTGTGCAAGCGATGCACCCACACAGCGGCCATCTCGTGTCATCTCGGCTCCGCGTTCCTCGTCCGTCTTCGCCTCGAACACCACTTCCCCCATCAAGAATTCCATGAACTTGCGCGTCCGTTCTTCCGCGACGCGGCACCTATCCTCTGCGTCAGGGGCGCCTGCCAGAGCGTCCCATGATTCATCCCATCCCTGCCAGGCACGCACCCGCGTTTCTTGCATGACTCGCAGGAGAGCTTCCGTGTCGCCCCAAGAAGACTCCAGGACACCAGTCCCGACGCAATGAAGGGGGTCCACGTCGAGGCTCGAACCTCAAACCTCGAGGATGCAGATTCGAAGCTTGCTGGCCTCTGGGGGGCCTCCTCGTCGCCACGGCCGGGCAGAGCGCGGAAAACTGGTACGGCTGGACAGGGGTAGAGTCTAAGGACCCGTTTTCCGCAGTTTTTCTTGGTTGTTTTTTTTGTCCAGTTCGAATCCGCCTCCATGCCCCCCGGCGCATTCAGGCGTGCTAGAATGCCAAGTGCTGTCTGGTAGAATGTATGCAATCTTTCTAAAGGCCCCCCTCCCGGGCCACTCTTTCCGAGGCTGTCGCGGTGCCCCGGCGTCGTCGTCGTCGTCCTCCTGCTCCTGCTCCTCTTCATCATCATCATCCCCCCCTGCCCTCGATCGGAGCGATGCTGACCTTTGGGGTCGGCGGCAGAGGCGGCAGCCTTTAGGATAACTGACCGTATCCACATAATCTATGGCAGGCGGAAATGAGTGCTCGGCCGTTGTCGGCCGTCCATCAGCGCAGCCACGGTTACCAATCATCTCATGTGTGTGCAGGTCTATTGTTACGCGACTCTGGATGGAGTGGGGCGGAGGACCTCCCGCGGATTCCACGTCATCCAGAAATGTCTCGGCGCCCGACGTCACGCGACGCCACCGCTCGGGAGCGACAGGCTGTCCGGCGGCAACCGCGCGCATCCACTGACCCAGCGCCTCTCTGCCGGATAGGGTCAAGTATGGTATCTGGCCCTCAACGATCAGGTCCACTCTGTGACCGTTGGGCAGAAGTAGGGTCGCTGACCTGCTGGCCAGACGAAACTAAAACCGTGATCCATGCACCGCTCTCCTACCGAGATCACAGCCGGCGTCTCCGGCATGACCAACGCTGCAGAATGTCAGCCCCTGAAGTTGGGGCATGCGACGCAAACTGAACCGTGGGCCCGTGAGGAACCGCCGGCAGTATTCAGGGTGATCGATTCTTCCAATCTTTTGATCATACCCATTGCGCCTGCAGCTCGAATGATCCTTTCTGCGATAGGGTTCTTCCCACAGCCCGCATCGACTATGAACCCGAGGGCGCCGAGGTGCACAGGCGAACTCTCCCTGCACCCCGCAGCGGCTGAGCCACTCTGGGTGGCTCGCTCTTTTTCTTCGGACGCTAGCCAAAGGTGCCACACTTCGTCGGCCAAATCAGATGCCCTGAGCTGTGCGTCTCTTGATGATGCTCTCCACTCGGATTGCATTCGTCTGTGCCCTTCCCTTGGGAATTTCCATCCGTTGTCAACGCTCGAAGGTAGCTCCCTTGGGCTGTGGCGACGCGCCTTCCTTCGAGTAATGGCCGGCTCACGAGTGGAAGGGGTGGAACTTCGCACGATGCCCACATCTCCCCGTCTTCGCAGGTCTGGTACAGCTTTTCCCGTGAGGTTCGCCACGCAAGGACGCGATAGCCCCCCTGGGAAGAGGATGTAACTGAACAAAGATAGCGACGAGTTTCGTCAGCACCTCTCTGCCTTCGCGTTGCATGTCGGAAGCGGGAACGGCTTCCTCGAACAATTGTTAACATGATACAGACATGCATTGTCGGAGTCAAACGCAGTTGGTTCCCCCCCGGACCTGCTGAGTTGGCCACGCGATCCCCGAGCCAGTGGGGCAGGGCAGGCTAGTGTGACTCTACTGGCTGTGCCAGGGAGCACATGTCTGTCCTTCCCTCGTCGGCTGGGCTGATGGAACCATTGTAAACACAGAGCCACAAAGCGAATCAGCATCAGCAAGAGAAGGTAGATATACATGGCGGACATCTTGGCACTCGCCCGTGGTACGCCAATGCCCAACCATCGTCACGGATGATTTGGTGTTGTCCGCGTGCCAGCAGTCTTTGCCTCGCGAGCACGCTCCGGCCTCGGTGAACGTCTTACATGGTTTATAGTTACCCTTTCCTTTGCCCTTGCCCCCGTTCCTTCCGCGGCCTTTGCTCGAGCCCCTACTCCTCGGGGTCTCGCCTTGCGCGGCATCACCAGCGCTCGCAGCTGCAGAATCAGCTTGCCGAGAAGCTCTCTGGCATCCCGTAGACTTGCCAGCCTTGAGCTGCGCTTCCTCGTATTTATCACGCTTGATTTTCTCTGCATCGGTCAAGCCTCTGTGTTGCTTATAGCACCCAGATTGAGGGCCCCTGCAGTTGCGGGGGTCGACCATGCGATTTTGCTCTGACGCTCTCGCGAGGCTTCCGACTGGCCCCATCGTCCGAGACTGCGTCGCATTCGAATTGCCGAAATTGTTCGATGGGGTCGAGGAGAGAG